CTGACTTCCTGACTCTCTCCAGAGCCTTCTTGTCAACCTAAAATGGTGCAGGTTAAAGTTTTGGTCAGATGTTAGATATCTTGTGAGCCCCTGACCTTTCATGTCGCACCCTAATCTTATTGTGTCCACTACTTTAGTCCCAGTTCAAAAACCTGCAGCAGAAAGTGGGAAATACTGGTATGCATAAGCATCTTTAGCTTTCTGATATTAGCCTGATTTAGCATAAATACTTTAAAATCAATTCACTAAGTAAATTGATCGAATTTCAGATTTCAGGGTTCTAATTTTCATTGAAAAGAGACACAGAATGTAATTGATGTTTGTCAGAAATTAAATATGTCACAATGGAAATATGCAAACTCTATTTAAATCAGATTTTCCCATTGCTACCTTGTACCCCGGCCCTCGTGGGCAGTCTATCTCAGTCTTTGTCTTTGATGTTTGATAGAATTTATTCATAAAATTATGCAGATCACAACTTTGGTTTTTCTTCCTTCTGCTTTCATCAATCATGTGATGACCCATCAGATTTATTTGTTGTCCTTGTATTATTAATATGTCAGTCAGAGGGACCAAACCAGGACTTATTGTTGTACTTTAACTACATTTTGCTGCTGAAAATTACATACTTTTACTAAAGTTGAATTATTTACACTGGAATTTTTATATTGCTGTGTTGGTACTTGTTCTTAAGTACAGGACCTGAATACTTCCTTCACCTCTCAGTCAGAGTTCAACCAAAGATTTATCACTTCAAGAGACTCTTACACAGAATCTGTTGTTTACTCTTCACTGAACTGATTTCAGTTTCAGTTTACGAACTGGCTTCAGGGAATTAGCTGAGTTTGAGATAGGAAACATGTTGTGCAACATGGTCCTGCAGCCCATTTTCACTTTCTCTCCCTGTTTGAACCAGAGAAGGGACGTTAAATAGAAACAGAAAGGAATCCCAGTTATCTCAGACGCCATTGATATGGAATGCTCTTTGTGTTTTGTCCAATCTTACACATTTGTGGCCCAAATCAGTCACAGAAAACCTGTCAAAATATCCCCCAGCAAGATATTGCTTAAGTCTTGCCTGTTCCACAGATAGGCAACACACACAGAAAACACACTGACCCAACAGAGAATGACGTTATTCAAACATCTACGATTTTAGATCCAAGTCAGAATTATGCTCCTTGCTTGCTGTCAAGATTGTTTGGGGTTTCCAGCTTTAGGTCTGTGTTAGCGTGTTAGCCCATGTGATTTTGATGGTTTGGCTCTAATGTCTACCAGATGACCGTGCCGCGAATCCCCTGGCTTAACAACCCAGAGGAGATTTTATGGCTTGGTAGCAATTTGTTGTCTCATGAACCACAGGTTGACTAACAAATGGCTGAAAGTGTCCAAAATAGGTTAAGTTTGCAAGAAAACAATGTAGGCTGGGTTCTGCATTGGGGTTTTTGTCTCCTTTGTTCTTTATTGTGCACACTGTTGGCCTTCAGATGACTCATTCTGTTTAAGCGTTGCTTGTGTTAACTGCTACGTCACTAAAACGCTCAGCAGCATTGACCTGCTGGGCTTCAGGTTGGGTAACTACCTAACTATTGCTCACAACTTGTCAGAATAGTCAGCCAGTAATCCTTACTGAAAATAGCAACCTTATATAACTCATAATGCTTTACCAATGCAGGAATGTGGGATAAGAAGATTTGTTTAAGCTCTTTCTGTTCTATAGGACTTTTTGGTTACTGTTATCAAAATCTTCCAAAAGTAAATGAGTATATAAAGTGTTTCAGTGACCAACCTACAGAAAGAGAAATCTGCATTTCAGAGGAAACAAGATGGATTCAAGCTGCATAATCCAGCTCTCAGCAGTTGACCAACAGCTCTTTGAAACTGGGCCTGTGTGTTTTTGTTTGTCCCAAGTTCATGTTATTGCTTTGTGTTTTTGCCACTCCTGGAATGATAACAGTGAAAGCGTAGGATGTTTTCCAGTTCAGTTTTTAGACGCCCACACACTGACAGAAAAACAAACTGTGGAAGAGAGGAGACGGACTCTTGTTGCAGATGTAAGGAGAGAGTAAAGTAGAAGCAGAGTTAGAATGTGCTGGTGTGGTGTTCATTATGAGTTTGACATTGTTTATACTCATGAAGTGGAATTTGTGAATGTACTTTGAAAATTGAGATTTGTATCAATTGCAGTTGCTTGGTTACAAAAATCTTAGGAAACTCTTCACTCTGTTTAACATCATGTACTCAGAATTGCAGTTTGACTCTCCAGTTATCAACTGCAGAGATTTGAATACAGCAGCGCCCTCTGCTGTTCAGAAGCTTGACTGTGTAACTTCTGTTCAGCAAACTAGCAACTCTACCTTTTATCTACATTACACCCTCTCCTTTCTGTTTCTTAGTGGTCCAGAGAATGGACAATGTCACAGAGGGCATGCAAAATTATGGAGGCAAGATCAATGCTGTGGAAACAGACTTAAAGAAACTGGGTGAGTGTCATTAAAACAAGTTTGTGTGAATGATATAATGTACAAAGACGTGGTTTTTACCTTGACATTTATATCACATATTTTTGCTTGTCACCTTTTTAGATGATCAGGCAGGAGTGAAGTCAGTTAATGCCACCAGTGAAATCAAGACTTTTAAGTCAGATCTGGAAGCCCTGCAGAGCCAGCTAAACGACATCGCCCTCAGGGCAACCAGCAACAGCGACACGCTGGAAGAACTTCGGATTACAGGCGATGACATGCAAAATGGACACGTCTCCCTGCAGAGTTTTCTGGAAGGCAATGCTGCCTCACTGCGTGGAGTCAACCAGACCTTGGCTTCCTACAGTGGAGTGATTGATGACCTCCAGACGGACACTGCACGGCTCCAGTCCGAGATTCAGGGCCAGGTCAAAGTGCAGAGCCAGACCCAGGTTAGTATCAGTGCACTGAACATCACCCAGGCCCAACAGCGCAACCTGCTCAGCACACTGCAGAAGACGGTTGAAGACGCAGGCCAGGCTGTTCAGAAACTGAAGAATGACTATCAGGTTTTGCAGCAAACAGCCAGACAGACACGGGCTGACACTGAGTGGTTAAAAGAAAAGGTCCAGAATCTTCAGGTTTTGGCAGCCAACAACTCAGCCCTGGCCAGATCCAATGGGGAAGCTCTGGATGACCTGGGAGCTCAGCTCAGCACTCTGGCCAGTCAAATCCAGAACACCTCAACCCTTACTGAGGGACATGACCAGAGCTTGCGTGAGCTGATGGACCACCAGAGAGACCACGATAATGCAACCTCATCTAAGTTTGATGACGTGGAAGCACGACTAGACAGGCACGAGAATGACATGGACCGCGTGACTGGAAATGTGAGCTTTGCTGCACAGATTCTAGGCGTCATCAGCTCTGACCTGAACGGCCTGAGGTCCTGTGCTGAGACAGTGATGCAACATTCAGACGTGTTACTGGGCCTGAACAGTAGTGTGACGGAGATCCAGACCGACAGCAAAGAGCTGCGCAGCCAGCAGGATGATCTGGCAGCCAGGCTGGACAAAGAGGTCAACAACCTGTCGATGGTGATGGAGGAGATGAAGCTGGTGGACAGCAAGCACTCACAGCTCATCACCAACTTCACTATCCTGCAAGGTAAGAACAGAAGACATACTTGGTGGGCAACTGGGAAATGACTCAGATAATAGGGTCATATTGTGGTTTGATTTAATTCTGTTTTAAACTGCATGCATAAAAATACCTCTCCAAATATTTTTTAAAGGTGTAGATTTAACCTTTCTAAACTCACAGCAGTTTCTGGGCATTTTTTGCTGCTGTCACAGTTTTACTCACTCTGGGCACATTTTTAATGAGAGCAGCATAACCATAAGCAGCTGAGTCATTAATGGTCTCTGCTGTACTGAGGAGTGAAAAACTTTTTATTTATTCATTTTGTTTATTATTTATTTATTTATCTTATTGATATATATATATATATATGTCTGTGTGTCTGTGTGTGTGTGTGTGTGTGTATCATCATCATATATATTTGTAAATGAAGCATGTAGTGTAAGTAGGGGCTTGCTTAGATAAATGCTGTAGTTTTAAAAGAATACCGAGCCTTTCAAATACACCTGAGTGAAATGGTGTTGGGTTTCAGAACTTTAATTATTGTAGGTATGACTCTGAGTATCGCTAGTTCATTTCTACTTATGTAACAAGTACATTTACCAATCTCTCCGCCATTCATTGCCTTTGTCATCAATTTTTTTAAAAACTAATACATTCTGAGTGACTCTAATTGATTAATTTTTTTTTATTTTGCAGTTTCTAAACACCACATAAATTAAAAGATTTGGTCCAAAAAGAGCTTTATATATAAAAATTTAGAGAGTCTGTTGACTGTAACTTGGATTACACAACTGTTGGTGTCTAGTACGCCCAATACACAAGAAATAAATGATATATGCTTTCAGTTCAGTTGTATTTATATGGAGCCAATTCACAGCATAAGACATCTCAGACCACCCCACATAGTAAGATGAAGACTGTACAATAGTATGTCATAGAGAGAAACTCAACAAATCCAACAATTCAAAACACGACGAAGAAAAACCGCCCCATTAACAGAAAATACTCCTTGTGACAGTGCATAGTACGCTGAGATTTCACCAGTAACATCACATTCTGTGGCATATAGTCCGCTCATCTGTTCTTATTCATTTCAGGTCCACCAGGTCCAAAAGGTTCCAGGGGAGACAAAGGTCCCCAGGGGCAAGTGGGTCAGCCAGGACAAAAGGGTGATAAAGGAGACAAAGGGATGCCAGGATTGGTAGGAGCCAAAGGAGAAAGAGGTGCTACTGGACCACCAGGTATGGAAGGTCCAAAAGGGCCTGTTGGGGCTCGGGGTCCTCCCGGAGCTAAAGGATCGAGAGGGTCTGGAGGTCGTCCTGGAAACCCTGGTGAGAAAGGCGACCCTGGGGCTCCAGGGATTCCCGGCATGGTTGGACAGCCAGGGTTGCCGGGGCCAAAAGGGCTACATGGGCCACAAGGGCCCAGCGGACCAGCAGGGCCTGCAGGTCTCGAAGGGCCCCGTGGCCCTGTTGGACCCATTGGCGCGCCTGGTGCTCCAGGGCTACCAGGACCACCGGGAGAACGACCTCATGTATTTGTAATCCCACCTTTGCCCACTCCAGCCGTTCAGGTCCCTGAAACCCCCAAACCTCAGCCTCTTAAACCAGTGGAGGAACCACAAGGCTCTGTCTCTCGGCAGGTTCAGCCTCCTGTCGCCACCACCCCAGAGCCAGGTGAGTGAGACAACGACATCAAGAAGGAAAAATGATACGTAGCTCATTATATGTACATTTCTACAAATGTTGATACCTACCTAACCAAACTGTATCTCCAATGATTTTGCATGTCTCATGTGACATTCTGATCATTAATTCCTCCAGGTTGTCCACCTGAGTTCAAAAAATCTGGAGACAGCTGCTATTATTTCTCCTCTGGTTCTCAGAGACTCAACTTTGATGAGGCCAGCCAGTTCTGTACTAATTTAACATCTCATATGCTCATTATCAATGACAATGAGGAACAGGTAAGTTAAGTCACACCCACGTATTATTTGTAATTTTGTCACCAATTTTGAAGAAAGAAAAAAAATGTAACTCACATAAAATAGTGATTTGATTATCCTGCTCTTGCTCCTTTATAGCTATTTGTGAGAAATGCGATCGCAGGAAAAGGTTATTTCTGGCTGGGACTTACTGACAGGGAGGAGGAAAACGTTTGGAAGTGGGTGGATGGAACCATACCTGTTTTTAAGTGAGTTACAAATTTTTTAATGTATTTTAGTGGTGCAGTAAAAGACCTGACTCTTTTTGATATGAAGTTAAAATCAATAAGCTTCCATGAGTGTAATTTACTGTCCGTGTGGTTGTTTTCAGGAAATGGAAGCCTGGACAGCCTGATAATTGGACCCATGGTCATGAAGACGGTGAAGATTGTGCCGGCCTGATCCATAATGCTTTCTGGAATGATTTCTACTGCACTGACCGCATCGGTTTCATCTGTGAACGTGCCTCTGACTGTCAGTACCTTCTACAGATCATACCTTTTTTATTTTGTGTTCCCCCTATTTGTGTGTTTCTGCAATTAACGCTGGAGTGTGGTATCTTTTTGTATAAATGAACATGCATTACATTCAAAGTGAGTTCACACAATGATGATTAAGCTAGTCAGTGCCAGGTAAATCTCTTTGTATTTCGAAGTATACTGGAATCTAAGTTTCAAATCTGGTCTCTGTCGCTACGTTTCAGCAGTTGCACACTGGTAGCAATGTGTTTTACATGAAGCAGCAGTGATTGGTTTGTCAAAGGTAATGAAGGGACAATGACAGCAGAGAAGACAGAGTATGCTACAAAAAAATCCTTGGGTGGGTCCTAGAAAGGTTTCTGATACTCCAGATAAAAAAAAAAAACTCATTCAGATGAATAAATGAGCCTATCATCTTCATCTCAAGGGTGTAAAAAGTAATCTTATGTGTTGTGTTTTGTTGTTTTCTTCACAGTGAATTCTCAAGTTTTATAGCATCCATCTAAGACAGCGTGAGTGATCTCTGGGACAAAAGTGAAGACGATGAAGTTGAGACTGAAGAGGAGATGATGATGATGAAGGACATGAGGAGGAGCTCTAGATGACTTTTGGACTCTGATAAAGCCAGCCCAGTCGAGAGTCACTGACTCTTGGGCTGATGTTTGTCTTTAAAGGCACTTTACAGCAGAGTATGGTGCAGAAGACAGAGCAAGCACAGAGCCACCCCACTATTGTATTGATTTAGAATTTGTACTGAGGGAAAAATTGGATTGTAGTCATTTATTTAGGCTATACTGAGTCATTATTTGGTGCAGCCACTGTTGTACATGTGTATCTGTAAATAATATTTTACAAAGGACACATTCTTGGTTGGGATTGAATTTCTTTCCTTGACTGCTTTCATACTCTTACACTTACAGAAAAATCTATACCAGAGGATAATGTTGTTAATAAAGTGGAACTACTTTGTATTCTGAATAATACATCACAGATCCAGAACTGTGATTAGAAATAAGCTCCAACAAAAATGATGAGCACCCACTCACCATCAGCAAATGACTGCAACCTCACATAACAAATAGTAATAAAGCTAGTGTAAATTTCACCTTTCTGTAATGAAAACAACATTGTCAGTTTTTTTCTTTTATTTTTTTGAGAATAGATGCTCAGTGTGAGCGGTGCTACTGTTATGGAGGACAGTATTACCTAGACTTTAGGCTGCCAGTATGAGTTTTATATTAAGTATCCATAAACAATATGTAAATGTTTTGTAATGTAATGTATCCATTATAAGATGATTTATTCACAAACACAATATTTGAAACATGTTAATTTGCATAATCAGTTGTTATAGTTGTATGATTGACCTCATGTAACGCTTAAGGACTGAGTAGCAGTTTGTAATCTGTCTTAAGGTTCATTTTGCTTCATTAAATCACTGAGTTCCTATGGATCAGGCCAGGACACTTACCACAATAAAATGTGAAAGAAAGTGTGTGTGTGCTTTTTGTCCCATGAATATGCAACAAATGCAATGAAATGCAGCATGCAAAGCCATTTTTTTTGTCTATAGAAACTTAAAAAGAGCGAGAACTTCTTATTGATATGCTAACTTTTTTATTTATTTGAAGATTTTTATTGTAACATCTTTATTTTCAAAACCAGTGTATGCTAATTACACAACAGTTTGAACAAAAGGGAATTACCTAACACAAAAAAATTATGATTTACACTTGTTTTAGTCACAGGGAACTGGTGGTTAGCACCGTTGCCTCGCAGCAAGAAGGTCGCCGGTTCGCGTCCCAGTGAGGATACCCAGGATCTTTCGGCGTGGAGCTTGCATGTTCTCCCCGTACAGCGTAGGTTCTCTCCAGTTTCTCCGGCTTCCTCCCACAAGGTCCAAAAACATGCTGAGGTTATTTGGTGATTCTAAATTGTCCGTAGGAGTGAATGTGAGTGTGCTTAGTTGTCTGTCTCTAAGTGTGGCCCTGTGATAGACTGGCGACCTGTCCAGGGTGTCCCCTGCCTTCACCCTAAGTCAGCTGGGATAATGAGGATTAAGCGTGTATAGATAATGGATGGATGGATGTTTTAGTCACTCGGATATGTATTTATTGTTACTGCCTAAATAAGGGTTTCACAATTAAATATACATAAATAAAGGTGTGTTTGTGTATTTGGGTCCATAAGTCCACTTTGACTTGGCAGCTGTTGTTTTAAGTAGCTTGACTTGACTTTTGTTGCATTAAATTCCTTCTGTATTTGCAATATGTGTTGTAGCTCTGACTAGTGCATATGAACTAAATAAGAGATAGTACCCTAATGTTCAATTCAAACTTCATGCAATTGTTGAGAGGTGATAAGATTTTCAATCAGTTAACACTGACATAACATTACATGTGGCTTTTGTTGTTATTACACCCACATGACTGAACCTCAAAATTACACTCAAGTTCAGCACTTTTGCAAATGTACGACACTTTCTGGACATTACGTTTTATTACATCTCTCCACAGGAGACAGAAATTCTCTGCAACTATTTAACCACAGATGTGTTTGTAGTTTCCAATCATAGCTGCAACAGTATCTTCTAGTCTTATTTATTTTTGTGTTGAAGGGACGAGTCACGTGATCATAATCACCTGACGATGACATGTTTTTTTTGTTTTTTTTACGGCAAGGGCAATTTGTAGCTTCCGATTCATTTTGTGTAGTGCACAGTTGATCAGAGACAGGCTCACTAGCAGGTGTTTGACAGAGAGGGTTACCTTCGAGTAGCTGACAGCCGTGTGTTCATACAAGACTGAGCGCTGCCATTACCCAGCATGCTCTGCTTGTTGCCGTCTGGCGAAGGAGTGACTGTGTAGAAAAGAACCAGCTTGCTACATTTGACATCCATCAACTTGTCGTTACTATGCATTTTTATTGTATGAAATAAGAAGAAGAGGGAAAGAAAATATCTGGGGAAGGGCAAGTCTGTTGTTGTCGACATACCAGCGATGCCTCTCTTCACGACCAACCCATTTGACCAAGATGTTGGTGAGTAATCAGGACTGGAGGCTATTTGTAGCAGGCTAACTGAGTAGCAGTGGGCAGACAGCTTTGTTTGTGTTGTCCAGCTGTAGTAAGTGTTTATGTTAGCTGCTAAATTATATTGTCAGTGTTATACGGACTTGTTGTTAATGTACCTGGCTGTGTAAACTAACAGACTGCTGTAAATGTTATGTAAAAAAAAAAAAAAACAATAGTAAGAAAAATATCTTTTGCCTGTGTTTGGTGTGATTCGCTCACTTAGCCAGTTAGCACAGTTAGCTAGTCTGCAACCCTGTCTAACATGGACATCTAGCTCGCAAGCAGGAACCGGAGGCATGTTCAAATTAGCCCTGATGTATTTGATGTATTTTTCATGTCAGAATATGTGCATAGTTCATTTTGTGTCAAGTTAACTGTCAATAGACGTAGGACACAGATGCTGTCATCAGCTAACTGGAGCAGCTAGCCATCCTTCAGCCCCATCATTAGCTGCCTTACTGTAGTCCACCGTGTGCTGGCTAACCGATATGATGATCCTGCCAGCTCCCCGTTAGTGGAAGTGAGACAGGATGCGGTTTTGTGTGAAACCATTATTTCACGCATCGTTTCCTCTCCTCTCTTTGTTCTGTATCGACTGGTTAACCGCTTCACTGGCATGTACAGTGTGCAGGTGTAGACAAAATACACAAACGCCTCTTTGCACAGTAACATGCAAAGCAGGCAGACCTAGCACTGACTGCTGATGTGGTAAAGCTTGTGTTGGTATGTCTGGACTGTCAGATGTTGTCTCAGCTAGAATGATCACATTCAGATTGTTCTGTTTCTGAATCAACATGCCATTACATGTCCATTAAACAGTAGAAGTGACCATCTACTTCCCTACTACTGTGTGGATAAACTCCTCCTCTTGGTGTAACTTAAACTGGCAATCTCTCAATACATGTTTATACGGGAAAACAATTGAGAACCTGTAAATGAGTAAAGAAATGTGTGTTTTTTTTGGCAATATCAACAAATTACATCCCTTCGCTAAACCAAAATTGCTTTATGGCATTAACATTCAAGCAACATTGTTCACAAATGTCTAATGCAGCACGAGATACTGAACAAATAACGCTAAAGACATAATTATCAAACCACAACAGGCCTTTAGCATTAAGAATTTTATTTGGGTTTTATCATACCCTATAAATAATTACAGCATCGTCTACAAGACATGAGGAAAGTTCAGTAATATTTCAATGAATGCAATACATTTTGCTTATAAATATAACGTATTCACATTGCAAACATTTCAAATTGTAATATTTTGTGCATTAGCTCTAAAGTCAGCAGATGATCCAAACTGAAGTGTCACTCAACAAAGTCCAAAAGGGGAAATGGCGAGATGACAAGAAGACAGCCATCAAGGTGCTTAACGAAGAGGGATAAAGGGAGGGGGCTGTTACAAAAACAGCTTAAAATCAGCAACGCAGCTGTGCTTTTCTACCTTAAGAAAATGCAGCATGGCTACACTAACAACAACAAAGGAAAAGACAGAAAACTGCAGTCACAGTGTTCTAATAACTGTTTCCGGAGCTGTAGATACAACAGTATGGCTAATTTACATCTTCACACAGTGTGTTACCGTGTCACTCATACCTACTCTGCTGTCCCTTTTATCAGTATAAATGTTCAGTCTCATGGAATACATCACGAGTATTTTTGGACGCTTTTGCCCGTGCCAGTGGCTATTATATGTCACAGTAACAACAGAGGTCTTACTTTCATCACTTTATTTAATATATTTTTAGGGAAACATGAGGCAAGACAATTCAAAACCAAATACACAAGATGTAACACTGAATGCATGAACAGTGGGTCCATCAGACACGGGAGAGTTGTGTCATTTAGCTGAGAGAGAAGTCTAAAAAAACATCATGGGGGTTTATGCCAAAGACAGGAAACTGAACTAGCAAAGAGGAACCATCAGCACCACTGAATGAAAGACACTAATCAGGGTATGCACATATATATATTTATATAATTTTTCAGGCTATTGTCTCAGAAAAACTTCAGGGTCAATTGGTACACACATCAACCATTATGAGCTTTGTGTGATTGCTATTTACTGGAGTGCTGTTGTATTTACAGGGGCTTCTGTTATATTTTCAGCCCTATTATTTCCAGTAAATTATACACCAGTTCCTGACACAGACCATTTAGATGGAGTAGAATTTGTCTATATCAAAATATGATTGCACACGCCTTGCTACTACGATTTTTATTTCAAGAAGGTTTATCATTTCTCAGGAAGATCCTCTTCTTTGTCTCTGTCTTGAAAGTCTTGTCATAAAGAAATTGCTTAAGATTTCTGCTTACGTTGGTTGTTGTGGTTCTTTCCTGCAGAGAAAGCAACCAGTGAGATGAACACAGCTGAGGACTGGGGCCTCATCCTGGACATATGTGATAAGATAGGGCAGTCACGCACTGGGTTAGTGAACCTTACCCTATCTGAGCTACACAAACACATTTATGAGATTTTGAAAATGCTTTTCCTTTATTAAGCTATGCATCCTGTTGTTAGTAATTAATTCCAGTAAAACTTAAAAGAAGCCACTTTCCAAAAAAACCTTTCAATATGTCACTGTTCAGTTAATATCCTTAAACATTTCAGTTGCACTATTGTGTTGCAGGCCCAAAGAATGCCTCCGCTCCATAATGCGAAGAGTGAACCACAAGGATCCCCATGTAGCCATGCAGGCACTGACTGTAAGTAGACTGTAGTCAAACAGCCGTCTAAGTGTGAATGTTCAGTACTGAGAGGCATTGAGCTGAGAGTTAGTGGATAAGTTAAACCGTAATGTGTGCTACATGTATGTCAACTATTTGGTGAAATAATGAGCCACATGTATATGCTGTGCCCTTTGTCCTCACAGCTTCTCGGTGCTTGTGTCTCAAACTGTGGAAAAATATTCCACTTGGAGGTGTGTTCCAGAGAGTTTGCCAGTGAAGTCAGCAATGTTTTAAACAAGGTATGTGGTCATTTTCGCTTTCTGTTTGTTATCCAGATTAGGTCATGCTATATCCTTCTTCTCATTATATGCTTTTTTAAATGTTTTTTCCCAGGGCCACCCCAAAGTGTGTGAGAAGCTGAAGGCCCTGATGGTGGAATGGGCAGAGGACTTCCGCAATGATCCACAACTCAGTCTGATCTCAGCAATGATCAAGAATCTACGTGAGCAGGGCGTCACTTTCCCAGCTGTAGGATCCCAGGTATATATAATATAGTGGAAGTTTTTCTTAGATTTAGAAAATTCTATATCAAAGATTGATTTGGACTGATTCCATGTGTAATACCAGCACCTATAATGATCTCATGCCAGAATGTGAAAGAAAAGATCGAACAAATATGCCTGGATTAACTGGTGACACTGAGTTTTCTCTTCTTTTAAACTGAGACAGAGACTCATCCTTTTGTTCCTCTAAGTCATGAGTCTGAGTCATCATCAACCTAAGCATATGATTATCGTCTTTTCCTAGGCTGCAGAGCAAGCAAAAGCAAGTCCAGCTTTAGTGGCAAAGGATCCCTCCACCTCAACAAACAAAAAAGAGGAAGAAGACTTGGCCAAAGGTAAAGATACTTCTAGCTCATGATAACTTAGCAAATGAGCTTATGTTAGTTTTTCATTATTCCGGTGTAGCGATGTATCTTGAACAGGAATTTCCATTAAAACATGCACACTCGCACCTTTAATAATTATTTACTGGCTTCACTTAACTCACCATTTATGCTGGATTAATGAATTGCAGATGTTTAGCAAGGTGTAAGGTAGCGATACTCAGCTTACAGTCTTGTTTGGCCTGCAGGTTAATAGGCTGCTGGCAGGCTGCTGACCGTTTTCTAATTCACAATGAAAATAAATGGATTGACTTTGGAAATTTTTGGGGGGTTGCTTATTAATGCCCCTGAGCTGCTCCTCAGCTAAGTTGAAAATAAATTACCTCAATGAAGGTTGAGTTATGAGTTAGTTTTAATAGGTTTAGTGTTTATTAATTTTATCTGATGAATATTATGTTTCGTTCATTAACTGGCCCATGACCTCCTGCTATTTTGCTAAAGTGGCCTCAGTGCAAAGCAGGTTTTGCATCCCAGGTCTTTCAAGGGCAAACACACAGTCACACATATTTGTCTGTGTTGTGTGCAGCTATTGAGTTGTCGCTGAAGGAGCAACGTCAGCAACCACAGACCTCCTTGTCAAGCCTTTACCCAAACACCTCCACCCTACTCTCCTCACACAAGTCTGATGGCAGAAAAGTCCGTGCCATCTACGACTTCGAGGCTGCAGAAGACAATGAGCTCACCTTTAAGTCAGGAGAAATCATCACTATCCTGGATGACAGGTGAACTTATTCACAAGTATAAACAAGTGCAACGGCACACAATGAATTGTCAAATATGTTGCATTTTGAGTTGGGTGGCTGTTCTTCGTGAAGCATCTGCCGGGTTGAAATGCCCTTTTAGGTGCTAAATATACCATACAACAGAAAGCACCTTTAAAGTGTCACAGTGGTCCATCTCAGCCTTTGGATTTTAAGGGAGACTGGTGATCTCTAAAAAAAAAAACATTTCAAGAATTCATTAAAATATCCAGATGTTTTAAAGAAGCTTGAAACTCTGCAAATTAAGTTTTGAAACAATCTGCTCATTTGATCTGTTTCACATTTATTACGAGGTCTGTCTTCAGCACTGACAGGGAAGCACGTGAAACCAAGGGCACATTCCACTACACATATACCATACTATATAGAATGCCAGAAACAAATTTTGTGTGTCTCAAACATAAAATACCTGCTTGTCCTACTACATCCTGTTGGAATGGTTCACAGTATGCATGCCAGCCTACTTTTCGGGCTGTTCTGACACACAATCCTCTGCACGGTAATGCCACATATGTCACACTGTCTGTTGCGTTAATAAACAAGCTTGAGCTGCTAAGAACACACACACAGATAACAGACTGCAACGGTCAAAGTTTAAGATGCGTTCTTGTAATAAAATACCAAATCCCTAATGCATTCTGGATGAAACAGTACTGACTTCATAAGGGCAATTTTACTGTGTAAGCAAAGTAAAATGGAAAAATATGTGATTTGGAACACTGCAGCAGTTGGTAAAAGGTGTATTGTTCTTCCTGTTTCAGTTTCTGTTAATAATATGATTGTGCTTTTTGTTCTTTAGTGACCCCAACTGGTGGAAAGGGGAAACATACCAGGGAGTGGGGTTGTTCCCCTCCAACTTTGTCACTGCTGACCTCACTGCAGAGCCTGAGATGAGTGAGTGTACACACACACACACACACACACACACACACACACACATACACATACCCAATCTTCAGTTATGTCATCGCTAATTCTTTGATAGCCCATTTAGTCCATTAGCAGTATTGCTTTATAGATCCTGGAGTGGGAGATACTTCATCACTTACACACTGCTGGTGAAGCAATACATAGAGCACAGTGCACATACACAGTCAAGACATTGGTGTCATTACCAGGAAAAGACAGATAAGTTACTACATGGATTCAACAACAACACTGCCTGTGCTTCAGGGAAATCACTCATTAAATGTCTGATAGCATTTGGATTTATTTCCTTCTGTTAGAGACAACTTCATACTACAAAATTATGTTTCCTCCGTAAACCATTTAAGTGCCACTCTCATATCCACATCCCGGCACTGTCTTGTAAACTGGCGCATGCTCTTTTTATTTCACTAAATCAATTCATTCATGAATTAAGCACCTCTTTCATTGTTGCCATAAAAATGTTTAGTCTCTGGCATAACTTTTTTCTTCAGCGTCACTGTTATTGCTTTTCGTATTTTTAATATTGCACAATGAACATTTGAGGTCCAGTTTAAAACTCACCTCTGTTCATGTGCTTCGTCTGTACACACATACTGTACATCAGCAGTTTAATGTTGCAGAGTGTGTTACAGCTTAAGATGCTCAATAAATTGTGAAAGCCCCACAGAAAGGGATTGGTTCTATTGCATAATGGATTCCATAGTTATCAGCTTTGCGTTATTGCTGTCTAGTGGGAGTTTGCCCAGCTTTTACATTACATCCAAATTTTCGTTGCTGCAGCACACTTTTCTTTTCACCTGCTGGCTGTAACGCTTTGTCAAACTCTTTGCATGATGATTCTTTTGTTTTATTCCTTCACAACATCCACACTGCACACATGAATTCAGTTATTTTTCCTTTTTCTTTTTTTCTTCCATTCATGTGAAACATTTTCAGATAACACAACGCCATGTTTTTGTGTCATGGTAGCTGTTTCTTGTCAGGTTGTACGTATTTTCATCTCATATCTGGGTTGGTGTAACGATGATTGAGTTGGTGTATGTTTAGCTCTTATGCATGTGTTTCTGATCGCTGGTACTCTGTTTTCCTGCTGCCACATCTGCTGTTTCTTGGACATCCACAGTGAAGACAGAGAAGAAGACAGTACAGTTCAGTGAGGACATCCAGGTGGAGACTATAGAGCCTGAACAGGAGCCTGTATATATTGATGAGGTAATTTCTCTTCTGTGTGCATTTGCTTACCAAGCCCATTCAGCCTCATTAGGATATTACCGTTGCATCAATAAATAAAGAGTTTCATTCGAGTATAACATTTCAAAATGACTTACCAACCACAAAATCTGACCACAAAATCTAAATTATTGATCATAGTCTAGGTTTTTTATTTTAGAATGAATCAGCTTTCTCTTGAGTATGTTGTGAAGTTAAATGTGTACATGTACTTGACGTTTGCCGTATCTATCAGGACAAAATGGATCAGCTACTGCAGATGATTCAAAGTGCGGATCCAACAGACAACCAATCAGACAGCGTTGAGTTACTACAGCTGGAAGGTAAACTGAATTTAAGATGGAGCTAAAATAAGTCCATGAATGAAAGTGAAAGAAAAGTATATAGTAATCAATCTGCAATATTTTTGTAAACCAATATCTTTCTTTTTGTCTTTTTAAATCAGGTGCCTGCAATCAAATGGGACCCCTCATTGACCAGAAGTTGGAGGATATAGACAGGTACATTGTGATAGTTTGACATGTTTTACTGATAGAAACTACAGAGTGTTCTGAACTGAGGAAAGATGCAGATTTTTAGGTCAGATGTGTAACAATATGTAGTTCCAGCATTTGATAAACATTTCTGAAGCCAATCCAACGTTTTTTAATCATGTGGTTTGTAACATCAGGAAGCACTCGGAGCTGTCAGAGCTGAACGTGAAGGTGATGGAAGCTCTGTCTTTGTATGCCAAGCTGATGAATGAAGATCCAGTCTATGCCATGTATGCCAAGCTGCAGAGCCAACAGTACTACATGCAGCAACCTGCCAATGCAGCACAACAGGTACAACCAGCTTAACACAAATATGTGCTTGATATGTTGATAGATAGTTTTTCAGTTTCATTTATGAGTCCATTTTATAAATGCTACCAGCCAGAGGCCATTGTTCTCCATTGTGCTGAGTTTAAGGACAGCTGGTATCTCTGTACACCTCGGAAATCATATCAAAACTGTCTTGTTTTTGTTTTTTAAATTCTAATCCACAGAGGCCTGTGCAAATTCAGACACCATGATTTAGGCCTTTAGTGTTGTGTGAGAGCCTGAATCACTGTTTTCTGTGGTTTGCTTGTGTTTCTTGTATGGTGCGTGAGAGTCTTTAACATGAATTAAATATTGCAGACAATTACCTTTCTGTGTTCCTGCACTAAATTGCTATCAATCTTTCAAAGGACTTAACAGCTTAGTCAATCCCAGTATGTGCTAAGTGTGCATCTGTATGACCACAGGTCTACCCTGGCCAGCCTGCATCAGGTTCATATGCCATGAGCGGTACTGGGGTACAAGGTTATACTGTTCCTATGGAGCAGCTTCCAGCTGGAGCCCCCATTCCTGGTCAGCCAGCTCCCAGGTAAGTCTCACACACACCTGTGTGTTGGTGCCCTAACAATCCACAGGTTGTCACTAGTTGTTGACGTTTTCATCACTGATCGTTTCCTCCTCTTTGGAGTTTCAGTTTTCACTGTCATTCTCCTCTTTGTACTATTTTTCAAAAACTTTTTTCACTTATTTATGTACATCTTAATCTTATTTGGAGTGCATTTACCTTTTTCAGTTTTGCATGACAAGTGTGTTAGTGCTGTAAATTCTCTGATAGTGACGGGGTCCTTATGTTGTTATTTTGCTCATTGCATATAGAAGCATTGCTTTACTTGTTAGAGTATAATGAGTGTATTCTGTTTCAGTATTATGTAATTTCTGATCCACTAAAATTTTTTGTGTGCTCAGTATAATCTGAAATTAATGCACTACTTTGTCACTACACAAACTAGGGATGGTACGAGACCAATCCTCAGACAAATCTGTTTGATCGCAGACAATTTCTTACTAATCAGCATGAACCTAAGCTTAGTTCTTCATTCTTTGTTCTTTGTTGTGTCTACTGTCATGTAGGTATCATAAATTTGAATAAATATTCTGAATATGCAGCACTATCAATCAATAATTATTTAATTAATCTTACAATTACAGTGTACTGGATCATTAATGCAATACCAGGTATTGCAGCTTTAAGTCACAGACATATGGTAGGGGTCACAGAGACGGCTCTCACATATGCCACTGGGATACTATTTGATCCCAGCTTGACTTCACATACATTATGTGCACTGGCTGGATTTAATTAAACATTACAGAATACTTTGTCACAGTGGCCCTTGCTAAACCCTCACAATGCTTTTTGCTTGCCAAAACAAAAACTTGATCAGGACATCTCTAACACAATAATGTCATACTCGCCACTGCAGTTCTATATTAAACAGAAATGCTTTTTGACTTGTTCATTCACAAACATTGAGTGCCCTTTTGTTGCCATTAATTTCACTTTATTCAGATATTTACAGTTAAAACAGCTCAAATGACACAACCCCTCCCATTGTTGCTTGGCTTTTTACCTGTAAAAGTTAAACACTGGTGTCTTTTATTGACAGTAGCTCAACAGCTCATAACCAGCACTGTAGCAATTACAGACTATGAATGAAAACAATATTTATGTTTAAAAGAGAAAGTGAGAGCAGCAGGAGGTGACTGTGACTTTACTCGGTTCTTTTAGGTGTGAATTAAGTGCTGTGGAAAATTGGCTGAAATTAAGGACTGAATCCCCATTAACATGTTTCCTTTTTAAAACACATGTCCTCTGCTTCATTACACCTAGCATCTACACTACTAGTGTTTTAGGACCCTTAAAATGGAGACTTCTTGAAATGCTGTTGAAACTGTTTAAAAACTTTGGGTTTGTGTTTAAGTCTGATACTAAGACATATATTGGTTTCTTGGTTGGGATTTAACTGTCGTTCCCTGATAGGCCACAATCCTATCATGTGACCATTTTCCTGAGGAGACCAAAGACATCAGCTGAGATTACCAGAGATTAATTCAGTATTGACAACGAGCTACCTGCATGGCTGACCTTGTTGTCTCTAAAGCAGCTGTTGTGCAGTTTAGGAAATCTCTGGTCCTATTTTCTAGCATTACTGTTCCCCCCCCGTAGTATCTCCACAACTGAGCAACAAACTGTTACAATTAATTTTTCATAGCTGTTTTAAAATGAAAACTTAATAGTTTAGATGTAGCCACAGTATTCCCACCCCTTCATCTTATGCAGCTTTATTAAAGAGTAGAATGTAATTGTTTATGCAAGTCAAGGCTATTATTTGAAAATCTAGCATTATTTGAATACCATCTATCTTTAATCAAAACAAGAGAATTTACACTATTAACCAGTCCCCCATGTTGAAATGTACTAATTGCTTTCTCTTCGTTCTTTCCACAGTGACGTTCATATGTACATGGGCCAGCCGCCAGTCTACACTGCAGCTCCAGGCACTATGGCCCCAGCAGATGTTCAGTCCTACCAGAACCCAGCCAGCGCCCCTGGTGCCGCACCGTGCACAACTCCTGCAGGCATGACGCAGACGGCAAACTACAGCACCCCTTCCGGCTCGAGCATAGCACCTTCCTCAGACGTCCCACAGGCCCCTTACTCAGAGAAGGCCTTGCTATAGGCCCCCCCACAGCTCACTGTTATCCTCACACGTACACGCACACATGCACACAAATGAATCAGACCTGATCAAATAGTTTTATATTTTATCATTTGTTTTCATCATGGAACACCAGATGGAGAAGAAAAAATGCAGATCAAGTTGACTAACACTGACATGTGTCACACTTTGTGTTTAATTTGACAGATACACAGGTAAATATATAGTTACACTTGTCACTCCAGCTTTAGAAGTGATCACTAGGCTTTGAATTGAAGAGCTAACTCTAAGCCAGACATGGTGTAAAAAGAGACACTGTGTCTTTTTTATTTTAGGAATGTATTTGATTAGCTATGTTATTGGATCTTCACTTTTTCTTTAAGTGTTTAACTGCTGGGGATGTGAAGACATCTGTTGGTTGCACTTAGTCAAGTTTCGGCCTACATTCAGATCTGATCACTTCCAAGTCTAGATCTGACAGCAATACATGCATTATCCATTTTTATGTACGAGACCTAACATTTAATGCCATTGCAAATCTGTGGTGACACTTTATTTTATGGATCCATAGGTTTAGTTCATCAGAAACTTACAGGAAGGAACTACATAATTTGGTACTAAACAAAATTGTGTTAGTTAGCCTTTACTTTGTATAAGCATAAGAAGGTTGTCTTTAAACCAAAGTAAATATTCATTGGTCATCTAATATTAGATTTTATATTCATCACATTTTAAAATATATACTTGTTTGTAGACATATTTGCATAAATCCAATAGTTCTTACCTGGTAACTTCCTAAAAAATCTTTTAACAAATGTCAGGTCTCTTCCAAAAAAATAAAATCAATGCATTGCCAAATTGCTTTGAGTAAACAAGTGTAACTGTAGCACTTTAATCCCAAACACAAAATACATATGCAATTACTATTTGATCAAGTGTGAAATACATAAAGGCATTCCTTCACACACTACCCTTGGTATGCACACTGGAGCGACACACACAGCACACACTACAGACAGATGTACAGCGGTGGGTGGATTCACTCACAAACACAGCTGCACTACTTGGTTCACACATCCTCAGTAGAGCGTCATCATTTACCTACATTCAGACACTAACAGTTAAATCCACAGTATGCCACAGCCTTCTCACAACTTAAAACAACTGCAGTGCTAATAGTGTCACAAAAAAGGGGCGTTGACTTACATTTATCACTCTCTCTCTCTTTTTTCTTTTTTTTCTTTTTTTAAAAAAAGGACTTTGAGCTAAAACCATTAGGCTACTACTCCATTCTGTATATGTCGTCAACTTTTAGAAGTACTGAAAACTGAAGCCACTTTCTTTTATGGAGGGAAAAGAAACAAGAGGAATTGAAGCATGCACATGACTCTTGTAAATACTGTAATGAACTAGTTGTGAAGCCAGATGATGACCTCATGGGTGGGCTGCATGTTAGCACAGCTCCGGGTGAGTCTCTCAGCCTTAAAGGTGAACTCTGCAGTCAGGTTACTCCAGGTGAATTTAAGGTGTAAAAGCCAAAGAGAACAAAGTGTAAAAATGCTCACATGCCCCAAAACAACATGTTTTTTTTTTTGTTTTGTTTTCAATATGATTGACTCCTGACTTCATTCTGCAGAGTTTTCCTTTTGGAACCAAGCTAGTTTTGCTTCCTTTTTGCTGGATGCCGGCTTGGCTCAGTCTCCATCAGGGGCTGTGCTAACGTACTGCTACCACAGACTTGGATACTAAGGGGACAACGCTCTCTGAACCCCAGTGTCTTTCAAGCATCTCTTTAGTCAGTGTTGAAAAAAATGAATACTATGTTTTTTGTAGTGCATTTTAATTTATGTTTTGATTATTGTTATGATATTTTAAATTGAGAACCAGTGCAGGATGTACGTATTCAGAGAACAGAGCGGAGTATGTGGATATTCTGCCTAACTTAGTTGTATATTTAAATCGCTCACTTGAGAACATGGACATTTTTCTCTGTGTTTGATACATGCTTATTGTACTGTAGGGTCAAATGGTAATGTGAAAACTAATTGAACCACCCCCTGTGCATTTTAAACTTGTTTTTTTGTTTTGTTTTCTTCAGAGCTGTGTTAACACTAAAACAACTTCTACCTGAAGCGGAGCTGAAGTATGGTTTTTAGTATTCTGGACAACTTTAGTCAGGATTTGTAAGCAGCTCTTTACCAAAGGCTCCCTAAGCTCATCACTTAGCGACACATGAGGCATTCAAGCTCAAGTATGGTAGGTACTCCTTATACTCTACCATACTGATCATATTCTTAATTCTCAGAATTTGCTACATGTTCAGAGTCTTTGGGAAAGAGTTAATGTTTACAAAACTGACTGGATTACAAAAAGCTAACGAAACAGGAAAATTATTTATCTGTTGTATTTAATAATGAATGATGCTACATGAAGGAATTATGAAGTTTTGAAATCGATTTTCTGATTGCAGGGCAAATCGATGTGCTATTCTGACAAATTTGTGTCATTTAAATTTCTCTCGAGATATTGTGTTTCAAATGTGCTACTCCTCACCACCCCTGTGTGCCAGTCTGAAATGATAAACTACCCACAGCCTAAGTCTAGCACCTGTGACTTTAAATCCTCCAGAACTTTAATTAAGCATTAACATAGCTAATTCGAAAATGAAGAAATTAAAATAAATAAATAAATAAATGTTTTGCTACCTTTAACTAAAAGCAAGATTGAAATAACATGAATCTGTTTGTTCAAAGAGGGTTGAAAATATCAAAGTAGCAGCTATTCTGGGACCATGGAACCAGGAGCCAGTTTATCGTCACACACCATATCTAAATGTAACATCCTGTTGCACCCACAGCATTGGATTGCAGCCCTGATGTAACTTTTTTTTGTACAGGATTGAGATGCTGCCTGTTTTTAAGTTTCGAACAAACATTATTGTAAAGGTTCTGTCTTAACTTGTACCCTGCTGTTTGTATGTATTCTTTTAACCATACTTATTAATTGGTATTCACAATAAAACCAGGCCAAATGTACAGAATAATCTGTTTAGCTTTGCTTTGCTTGATTCACATATTTTTTTTTTGTGCATAAATGAAAGACTGAAGTGCTTTGAATTGGTCCATTTTTAGGTTTTACGTTCAGGCCCAGGCGATGTTAAATGCTCTGGTAACAGATAAAATGAGAAAATTGTCATTTCATGCGACATATTTTTGTATTTGTGTTTTTGTCTGCTTGTGTCACTGTTGAAGTGGGTGATGCACAGGTGGAAAGAAGTCGACGACACATATTTCCGTACACCAATCAAGAGTTTAGCTGCGTTATTTGCTAATATTGCCAAGACAGTGTCAACCAAATCAGATCATTCCCACACACACAGCTCTGATGTGTGTGTTCAGCTCTTTAAGATCCTTCCACACATGATTTCAGATATTTAGTCAGAGAATGTACATGAATTGTGTCATCTTGGATCTTTTCACAAGTGTAATTGCCGTAAAAAAATCTTACCATTAACGGTATAACTTCCTCCTCATTGAAATATGCACAAGGATTATGTAAATATTTGAAGATTCCATGACACCTTGCGCTAAGCCTGTCTATCTGTCTATCTATCTATCTATCTGTCTATCTATCTATCTATCTATCTATCTATCTATCTATCTATCTATCTATCTATCTATCTATCTGTCTATCTATCTATCTATCTATCTATCTATCTATCTATCTATCTATCTATCTATCTGTCTATCTGTCTGTCTGTCTGTCTGTCTGTCTGTCTTTTCAAAGTTACTAGCAGAGTTACAAAGTGCTTCACAAGACAACAAAGTAAAACAAACTCATCAGATTTTAAAAGATGAGTAAAAGCACAATGAGGCAAAAATAAGACATTTAAAACAAATTAGAACTCAGGTTTGCCCCAACAGTGATCTGATCAGTGTCACTCAAACATGAAGTAATTATGCACAAAACTGACATAGAACATGTTCAACTTTAATATACTGAAGAATATATTTTCTAACTTTTAATGTTGGTTATTTCAGTAATAACTGAAGTTGTGCAACTGTCCTCTGCTTTGCCACTAGATGGAGATCTGTGTGTGAGTCTGACTCGGATGTTTTGTTCGGCAGCCTTTAAGCATGTCACTGTGATTTTTAAAGGGGTTGGAAATGATTAAGGATCTGTTTTCACTTGACAGTTTGAATTTTGTTCGTAGCTTAACATCAGCATCATACAAAGTCATATGTGTGTATGTAAGATTTTATTTTATTGTTATTTTGTAAAACACCTGTTAAAACAGACGTGGATCTCAGTGCAACATTGTCCTTTTACAGTTCCGCCTCCATATAATTTTCTCCTTGAAATTATGGGATGGGAGTGCTCTTCTTTCTGTTCCCATAAAAAGATGAGCATGACCACCTCATTACCTCAGCAATAAAAAAATACTGCCGCCACTGCAGTGTAAGCAATGTCAGTGTGCAGAGTCCAACGGCTCCACTGGCTCGTGTTGTCAGAGATGACTGGAAGTCTTTAGCTCCAAGTTCCGACCAGCGACTGGTGTTCAGGGATCATGCCCTCAGGAAAGACGCTCAAGCTCATCCTGTATGAGCTGCTGCAGTTCGCAGCGCTCATCACACCTGTCTTTGTGATCATGGAGAGATTCGCTCGCCTCATGCGTGATATAAAAGGAGGGAACCTGACTTACTGGCTCGTCGTGGCGGCCTCCATCGCCTACATGACCTCTGTGACCCTGCTGGTGTGGGTCCCTCTCAAATATCTGATGCTGAAGAAGCGGAGGTTCATCACAGAGGTCACACAGTGGTGAGTTGAGACTAGTGTGAAATAGTACATGTACTAGATAACATTTCTTACAATGAATGATCATTTTTCAGGCATTTTTTTTTATTTGGGACTTCATAAAGTTGAAATAATTGTACAATAACAATACAGCAGTGGAAGAAAAGTTGAGGTGCTTCAGTAAAAGTAACAATCCTGCCAAACCATTTTAAAACACCTGGCAACATGCAGAATAAAAGCTAGTTTTAGCTGCTTACAATATTGTCGGGAACTAACCACAAAGCAAGAGCAGGTAACTTTTAAATGAATAAATTACGTTTTTATCTTAACAGAAAGCTGAGTTCATAAGCAGTTAAATAACATGGTCTAATATGACCAGATCCTTATGATGACCAGTGTTCGCTGGAATTACAGAATCAGTTCTTAGACTTTATGGTTCTTCTGGCTCTTCTCTCTGCTACTGCTACCAACACTAACTTAACACTGATTCAAGTCTCATAAATGTGGTAACAGATGTCTTTGTTCATTAGACGCTACATATACTCACTTAACCATTGCTAGGTAGATGATATATGTGTATATAAATGTACAGTGTTTGTCCCTGCAGTGTGGTGGAGTACAATTATTAGCATTAAATACTCTGTTGTCTCACAACTGTCCTCATAAGCTTGGCAATGACAAAACAAGAAGTGGAATGAGAAAGGGATCAGCTCTTCTTAAAAGAATAACAATTAATCATTATAATAGGAGGATCATTATGCAAATGTGAACTAAAACAACGTTTTTCTTTTTTTTCAGGAGACCAACAGCGCTGGCATATCTCCTCCTGTCTACATTGCCGTGCTTTGCTATTTTAATCGCCAGCTCCAAGGTAATGTCTGCGAGACTGATTGATCTTGTCACCGAGGAGCACCTGTTGATGTTTTGTTCTGTCATGCTCCGACGGGGTCCTTGAAGGCCCACATATTTGTTGTAAACAGTCCATTTGTGGCACAATGACCCCCTTGAGTAGGAGAATGTGTTAAGGCACTGTAATTATTCACTGAGTGACGGTCGACACGGTGCATTGCACCACAGAGAAAGAAAAGCGTCACTCGTCAACAGCCCTCTCCTCTCTCGCTCTGTCTGGGTTTACTTATCTGCTGTGAAAGGTTTTCTCATTGTGCACTGAGCAGTGATGGAAAAAATATTTAGATCCTTTACTTAAATGTAAGTACCAGTACATTCATGTTAAATTACACTATTACAAGTTAAAGTCCTTCAAAATCCTATTGCAGTGATCAATATTTTATTAGCAAAATTTACTTTAAGTTAAAATACTCCATACAGAGACACATGACTGTGACAGCATATTTTTATGAATGACATTACATTATTAATACGTGCAGCTACGAGGTGGAGCTACTTTTTTTTTTACAAAGTAGTAAAAAGTAGTTTACTGTTTGTTTACTGTAGTGGTGCCCAAAATAGGAGTCAGGCCCATCCTAAGAATCAGTTACATTACTGAGGTTGTAAGGTGATTAATGGGAAAGTAAAAAAGGGAAAACCTTTTTTTTTCTTCTTTTTTTTCAGTGAAATATTGAAACATGTTTTTCTTTGGTTTTGGAGCCAACACCTGATAAGACAAGGAGCCAAAACTACACAACCAGTATTTTTTTAAGAGGTCACAAGCCAAAAATGTCAGGAATCACTGATTTAATTTCAAACAAGGCTTTGTATTTTGTAAGCTTGTTGTATGTCTCTTTTAATTTAAAATAATAATATGAAAAATAACAAGCCATTGTAGCGGATAGAGACATGTAGTGCAGTAAAGAGCATGCAGTAATAAAGAAGTGCTTCAGTACAGCACTTGTGTGAATGTATTTATTTACTTGCCACAACTTGCACTGAGAAGGACTTTGACACCAGAAGGAGGCAGTAATGTGCCCACCGTCACGAGACCGTGCTGTCTTGTATTAGATATTCAGTAACCCACAGTGAACATAACAGGTTGGCCATTAACCCACACTGTCACACCATCCATCGCTCTTACAACACAGGAACGTTCACTCATATGTTGGACTGTGTCATTGACCATTTTATTCTTAGACAAACAAGATTGTGAATAAGAGCATCTTAGCGCAAAGACTTGTCAGACATATTTATGCATCTAATACTCTTAATCTTCTTTTAAGAGGTGTTCAGCAGTAACCTATCTCTGCAATGATGAGGCAGTAAAATCTGATGGGTTCATAAAACCTGGAATGCAGGAGCTCCTCTTTGTCAGTCCAGCCAAATATTGTAATGGAGAGTTTCAATTTTGTTTCCTGCTGTCTTACCCCTCTTGATTTCTAAGTGCCAGATCAATAAAGTCTGCGATCGAGTTCCAATTTAGTTTTGTTGTTATTGTCGAACTGTATAGGTGCAGTTGGACAACGGAATGTGGGGCGAGCGTTTTGCTGAGTTGCCCGTTTCCTTGGTGCTTTTCTCCCTCATCTGTGTGGATATCGTAGAGAGGATTCGACCCTGCAGGCTCAGGGGCCAATGTAAGAGTTGATGAATACAAATTAAATCATTTCAAGTGTTTTTTGTGTCATATTGCGTGTTCTATGGGAGTAGTTGTCTCTTCAAACTAGATGATCTTAATAGTAACAATATAATCATTGTGTGGATTTCATAATAACCTCCTGATATTTATCTTAAAAGGTTACAAAAAGAAGGATTATTTCGATTTACAGAGGAAAAGGCACAATTTTTGAGACGTACAGTTGAGTTTACAAACACAACTGTTTAATCCATCCATCCATCCATTATCTATACACACACTTAATCCTCACTAGGGTCGCAGGGGGCTGGAATCTATCCCAGCTGACTTAAGGCCAAGGCAGGGGACACCCTGGACAGGTCACCAGTCTATCACAGGGCCACACTTAGAGACAGACAACCAAGCACACTCACATTCACACCTATGGACAATTTAGAATCACCAATTAACCTCAACATGTTTTTGGACTGTGTGGGAGGAAGCTGGAGAACCCGGAGAGAACCCACGCTGCACGGGGAGAACATGCAAACTCCACGCAGAAAGATCCCAGCGTCCTAACCGGGGATCTTCTAGCTGCGAGGCGATGGTGCTAACCACCGAGCCACCTTGTAGCCCTGAACTGCTTAATGTCTAGAATACTTTTCTTCAAACAATTTCTTTATTTTAATCCAAGTAAGCATTTATTTATTATTCATTTATCATAAGAAACTTCATTTACCTGCAGGAAAAAACACACATATTTTTTCACATTAAGCTTACGTGCCACATACTGACTAAATGTCACATTACCAAAATTACATGAAACTTTCCAGGAAATTATTAAGAATTTACAGACCCACAGTTAAAATTGTTTTATTCCTATACAGCATACAACAGAAGGGATCAAGCCCCAATGCAACATCACTTGAAAGTAGAATGATTAAAAGTGGTTTCAGCTCTCATAATTGCCTTATTTCTATGTTACCAGTAGAGTATTTGCTGTCATATTAAATTAAAAACTAACAGTTTAAATTTCCTTGGATAGCTATCATGCTGGAATATTCAGGCAGAATTAATTTTTACTGCTAGTCTGGTGATGCTCAGCTGTATGTACTCACTATGAATGACATCTATTGCATGTTTTTTATTTTTAGATTTTCCGTAATATGGAAAAAGACAAAAGTGAATGACTAATTCTCTTGATATTGGCTGGACTTTAGGATAATCATGCAACGTAACATCTGGTCTTATCATTTGCAGCAGACGGGCAGGATACTGACTTTGACATGTCAGGCCCTGTCCTCACCCACCTGAATCAGGTGACCACCGTATCAGGCCAGCTGCACCCTGATGAAGGCCAGAATGGTTTGACCGGAGGCCAACCAGTGGCCAGCAATGGCAGCACCCCAGGCAGATGGCAGGACAACACTGAGTCACCCAGGCGTCCACCGTTCAGCACTCAAGCACCCACCACTACCTACTTGTACTCCCCACCGTCACATTCCTGGTCCTACTCAGGTCGTCTGGGCTCGCTGTGGCGGAGGGATGGAAGGTCAGAGGTGTTTGTGGATAGTTTCCTGTTCTGGTTAGACACTGTGGAGCTGGTGAGAGTGGCGGGAGAGCCAGCAGTCTTCTTCTCAGCCTGGGTATTCCCAGTCTACATCTTTGCCTTCCTGTCCACTCTCCGTATGATCATCACCCCTCACAGTCCCTTGCTGGCCTCTGCTGGAGTTGCCCTGCAGGACTTTCCTTTCTTTGTTATCCGGGTTGCTCTGATTGTTGTGTTCGGTTCTGTAACACCTGTGTTGTTCCCACTTAAAAATGCGCTAGTATGCCTGACTTTTATCTACTTTACATTCCTGACCAAGCTGCGGATTTTCAGAAGTCAGAGCATGTTTTGAGGAGGAGTGACGCATTCTGCTGTTGATGAAAGAGCCACTTGGATTGTGGATGATTGAACAGTTGGTATTGATGTGTGGAGAGCAGCACCAAAGAAACTTGGTGGTGCTACTGAAAATGAGGAGCAGCATGTTTTGAATTTTACTGGCTTGTAAATGCATTGAAATGCCATTCAACCAAATCAAAGTGTAAAAGTGATTCTGGATTTAAAACACGAAAAGGTGTATAGGTTGGAATATATAGTAAGCCACCTCTTTACATTTTTCTGTCACATATGTGAATGCAGATGTATTTATTAATACTTAAGTTTATGTTTATCTGCTACATTTTTCATTTTTTTATCCATGCATTTGTTAGCATGCTACTAGGAGAAAGCTTTAAGACAAAATGTTTTAAACCATTTCCAACTATATTAAATAAAAGTCCTTTGTTTAAACACTAGTGTAACTAATTTGATGCTCTTGAGTAAAGCTACACTAATGAATAGTTTCATAGTAATAAATAGTGAGGCGACTATGTGGAAAGGATCACTGACAGAGAATGAGCAAAGCTCTGATGTTTGGCTATCACAACTGTGCCTTCATGAAGCCAGCGAAGAGATTTCGAAAAAATCCACATCATCAACGAACATCTAACAGATAAAGGAAGAAAAACAGGCGGAACGGCATTGTCAATCCTGGAGTGTCTGAGAAATGTAGAACGATCTTCTCCAAACACAACATACTGCTGCACTTTAGACCTAATAATAATATGAAACAAAAACTAGTTGACCCCAAGGATAAAACACCCAAACATAAACTGAACAATGCTGTAAATGCAGTCCAATGGAGTGGAGGAGAGCACAGACCTTTATATCATGGGTAAACAACTGCTCTATAGGTGCATGGTATAACACAAGACTCAGCAGTCCACCTGTATCTAAAGGAAGGAGAGACTGATGGTTTAAGAAAGGAGTAAAGGAAGCTATCAGTTGTATGTTGAACTGGAAGCACCATCTCAAAACAGAGGAGGTATACGACACCACTTACCAAGTACTTATAACGCAGTCTTGAGATCTCTCGACAGAAGGTTTCCCTACCATTAACATCTTGAGTCATCTGACATGGCTGTCAATGGGAAAGCAGCCATGTGAATTAGGGGGTGACTATATATACCTGAGACTCCCCATCAGTCAGTCAGAGCTGAAGATGCCTCTTGGAGGAAAGCTGAAAAATCTAAGAAATCCAGTTGTCATTTGCTGAATTCATTTAGGTTTTCCTTTTAATTTGCCACTGTTCTCACATGCTAAGATCACATTTCTAAGACCTAACAGGACATTACTATAGAGAAGAAATGTTAGACCTGAGCTCTGATGTTTTTATAATAATGGAACCAGCCTGAGGAATACTACCAGTTATTCTGTGTAGAGAACAAGATTTCACTTGCAGTTTTTGTTCCCCCTCCACTTACAGACACAATAGAGCAACAGATTTTTTGTGTGTGTTGCCGCATCTAATTCCTTGCTTTATTCTTTGGGTGTTGCAAATCAGTTTCTTACCCTTGTGCTTTATGTAATTCTACGGCCATATAACTCACTGGATTGCAACCTTGGTGTGTGTGTGTGTGTGTGTGTGTGTGTTGATGCAGAATGCTACCGTGACATGCTGTGTGTACTGTAATCGCCAGTCCTCCACCAGGACAAGTCTGACAGAATTATACCCACAGTGCACTTGGGCTTTGTTCCTCTGATGGATGAGCCAGGCCTGCGGGACATAAACAAAGAAATGAAAGAATTTTTTAAAAAATGGCTAAAAGCATGGTGTGCTGCATTGCTGCTGAAAACTCAGTGAATCTCAGGCAGAAGTTTTTATGAACTTGAAATCTCTTGCCACGCTGAGAAGGAAGATTTGTTAAAGGTTATGTTCATGATGTACAGTACATGCTCAGTGGCTGGACACTAGAAAAGCAGCTGTAATTCAGTGTGAGGCAACAGTGCTGACCTGCTTTCATTTACTGGTATGAAAACTAAAATTAACGTCCTTTAATTTCCCCACAGCCTACTCCTGATCATCCTACTCCGTAATGATTCATAGTATAATCTGCAAAAAGGCATTAGCGCAGCTTGAGTTAATATGGCTGTTTTGCAGTATGTCATGTTGGCAGGACGGAAAGCAGTTTTTTTTTTTTATTCTTGTGACACAGACTGAATGATCAAAGTAAAACACAGCAGCCGGCATCCGTTCCTCTTTATCTGGGAGTTTAAGATCCACGTTTAACGATGAAGAGTCCTCTGAGGCAGGGGCTTTCATTGCTTTCTTTTTTTTTGTCATCAAATGAACCTTTCATGCATGCTGGGAGAAGCTTTGCATTAATGCATCCACTTTTAAATTGATATTCAGCATGTTCACTGCTTTTTCATCAAGTAACGTGTGTCTGCAGCGGATGCTTTAAAGTCAAATTTTCTTGAAACAATAAGGGGAAAAAAATCTGCTTTGCACAGACATTTGTGGTCAAAAAGGAATGAAAGCAGCAGCCTTTTTCTCTAATAACACTGTGAAGGTGACACTTTTGGGTTGCACAAAAATATTGGATAGATTGATGTATATTTTTACACATACATTCATGGTGTCCAGCAGTGACGTGCGGTCAGGGGAGGCAGGTGAGCAGACCCTCACCTGACATCACGGAAAGAAAAAAATATATGATGATAAAATAATTTAAATAGTTGTTTTTATCCAGTGATTTGTACTATAAAGTATTTATTTTTTCATTTAGCCTCGTCAGTTTTGATGATTTTTAAATTCAAAATCTCTGAATTTTCCCAATTTCACATTCAAATGCTTGGAAGAGAAGCCGGTGAGCTGAGCCTCACTTGGATTGTGCAATCCCTCACTACCTACGCTGGCTGCCTGCAGTGACAGCGTGCTGCTGTCTGGATGTCGCCAATAACACGGTTCAAACACATTTAATATATGAACTGATTTTCCATAGTTCAGCTGATGTCTATAATAATGTATAGTGTTTTTTTTTGTCACCAACTGTATGTGTGTAAAGTGTTTCTTGTGCTGAGCATCATAAACGGCTGAAAGGAGGTTCGAGGTGAGGCAGGCAGTTCTCTTGCCTCATGGCAGGGGGCGCTCTGATCCCAGACATGCTTCTTGTGACTCGGCGGCTGCAGCAATAGACTTGGTACGGTATACGGTTAGCAAGTCAAGTGCAGCGAAGGAAGATAAGGAAACTTTTACAAAAAGCAACGGATATTTTGTCCAGAAGAGGCGGAGCAGGGACTTCATTTAAAGGTAAAGGTAAGACCGCAATAACTTGGGAAAAAAAAACAAAAAAACGAAACATGCCTTTTGTGGGCTACAGCTTGTATGTGTAAAGAATGCAGATATAAAACACAACCCGTAAACTGCTGCCAATCAAATGACAAATATGCAACTGTGTAGAGTGCATATATTTGTAAATCAGATTCTGATGAAGTCAGTGCCTCAGCAGCCATGAACCTCACCGCATGTCACTGGTGTCCAGAGGATAGACCGATCCATTGACTTGACCTGAAGAACAGTCCCTTGACTTTTTCGTTTGATTGTCACCTGTATTACCTTCAGGATGAACTGTATTATCCTTAATAATCTCTTAGGTATTCCTCTCCAGTGAAAATCATGTTTTGTCTTTTTTTTTTAAACCTTGTTAACATGTGTTTTTATACATCAGAAGACACATCATGAGCAAAATAAACCATGGCTGAAGATTTCCACCTTTAAACTGCAGTGTACTAATGACATTTTCAAAAACGTAGATTTAGACTTGCAGAGTTTCATATGTCACAAACCTACAGGACCAATCCTGTCAGCTTGCAGGTTGGGACTTTCTACATCATGATTCTTCTTCAGAATCAGTTTCTAGCTCTTGTATGCCTGATTTGCTCCAGCATTAGAGTAGTTTCACAGTGTTGGTGTGCTCGAGCTGCAGGGAGTGGGTGGAGAGAGGCAGAGACTTCATAGATCTGCATTTTATAGAAGAACCAACAACAGAGAGTTACATGTAAGACTTTTAACTTGCTAAAAGGGAAAGAGAATAAGAGAATAGCCAAAAGTTACTTCCAGACACAGGTGGAAATATTCCTACTGCACTTGCAGATTTTCTTTCCCTGTTTGTGGACTCGATTATAGACGGGAACGTCTTGAAAGAAAAATGCTTCTTCTTCTTTTTTCTTTTTTTTTTTTGCAGCAATAAACCGAGGCAGAATAATCCCCAGCGCCTCCTCGGCTCACTCTCAAGGTAACATGAAAAACAAGAGAGAGCACCACAGCAGAGAGGAAAAATGACACAAAAGGAAGCAACAGCATAGAGAGAGAGAGAGAGAGAGAGAGAAAGAGAGCGAGAGAGGGAGAGAGAGAGCAGACATTGTGGACAGAGATGAGGCGAATAAGATAGAGGAAGAAAAAGGAGAGGACAGATAGAGGGATGACAGAGGAGGAGGGATGGGGGTGTGTGGGGGGCTGTTAAGGAGGGGTGGAGGCTTTGTAAATCGGAGAGGCTGGAGGCGCATTTGAATTCAGGCTGTGTGTCTCCTGCGCTAGCCGAATGTTACCTGCTCTAGCATGGCAACAGAGAGAGAGGGAGCGCGGTGAGCTTCAGCTGCAGCCTCCACACACACACACACACACACACACACACACACACACACACACATACACGTGCATACACACAGTCACAACAGGAGTGTAAAGAGTGACTCAGGTAAGCAGGAACGCCCCTGATGAGAGAGGACCCTTGAGAGAGGAAAGCAACGTGTGGACTGAGAGATACTGGAGGAGGAGCTATAGAGCTGGGATTTATTTTTTTTTATTTTTTTATTTTAAAGGAAGAAGAAAAGAAGAAGAATCACACTGAACCTGAAAATCTCTGAATCTAGACTTCCAGGGTGGGCTTGCGAGGGAGGGATGCACAGGAAAACAAGCAAGATGGATGTGGAGTGATGCAAGAGCTCTGATTGGATAAATCTGAGAGACTACAGAGCACTGACAGACTCACAGAGAAGAAAATGACATTTAGTTTTTATAGCAACACTGTTCGGGGGGCTTAAGCCTGGGGAGGCTGGAAGGGAGGTTTTTCGACAGGGTAAGCCGGGACACAGAGAGGGTTGAGGTGTGGTAATG